AAGGTACCATTTCACAGAGTACTTCTCGCACGTCACTGCGGTCTTAGTCACCATGCATATCGCCCACCTTCTACTGTGTTCCTTGTGTGTATGCATTCTGCTTTTTTTCTTATTAAAGAGGAAATTATGAGGAACAGGAGAGTAAGTCTTTCTGATGGGAAACCCAAGAGTTATGCTATCCCTCAAAAGGGCTTGGTTGCCCTTCCACAGAGAAGGTAACCCTGGTGATAGTCATGAATGGCTGCTTGTACCTGTTGGCAGAAGCCATCTGGGCCTAATGGATTGATATAGTCAGGATTACTTGGCCAGCACCTGGCCTCTGTCCCTTAGTTGCCCTTTTAAAAAAAGCCCTGGTTGAGGCTTGTCTAGGAATCCTTTCCTAATTAACTTCATTAATTAAAGAAAAAATCATTCTTTGTGTGGAGGAAATATTGGTCATAATTTTTTTAAGTTAAATCACCCCTCATAAATTAAAGCTATTTAATTATTATCTGATTACAAACTGACCACTGACTGAAATGTAAAACTGCTGGCTGAAGGCTGTGTGATTCAGTAGGCACTTTGGAGCTCTTAGACACCCCATCCTGTCCTGGCCCATATGGAAATCCCTATTGTTGAGGGATTGTTCGGTGCAGTGTGTGTGGACATGTGTTTGGCTGGAGAGTGCAGTAATGGTCTTTGAAAGGCCATTTCGCCTGTGCTAAGGCTCTTCGGGAGATTGCACTCAGCAGGTCACCCACAATATTTCCCGTACCTTCCCAGTATTTATGAGTTTGATTAACTTGGCTTCGATTCCCTAAGTAATTTTCCCAAAGAAGAATAGATTTTCTCCTGCAGTGATTATCGAACAAATCGCCCCTGTTCAGAAGCTGCTTTTGGCCCTGATAGGGCCAAAGAAACCTGTCCTTGAGTGACCTCCTAATGTATCCCAAACTGACCTCTCCCCAGAACCAGCAGTGACTTGGGCTTTCTTCCCACCTTGTCATTAAAATGGAGGGTAGAGGCTAGCTCATCATTATGGGATGTAAAATCTGGACCAGCCCCAGCTTCTATCTTTACACCTGTTCTGGTTTCCACTGTAGTTCTCTAGGACCCGAGTAATTGTGAAAGTTTCACAGTTTGTGAATGAAGGGGACATGCAAATGACAGGTTTTAAAATGGCTTTTTCTTCTGTTTTCTTTGTTAAGATGTACCTTTATTCCTGGAATACACCTCTAATGTGTATGGTACTTAATGGGAAAACCTCATAGTGTGAGCTAAGTAATGAATGAGTGGAATTTTGGTTGGAGTAGTTGTCATTTTAATTACAGCCTTTGTTGTTTCTTTCAAAAATCAAACTCCACAGGGCCTTAACCCTTTCTTTGCCAGCCCTTCTCTCATCAGCCTGTAGAATACTCTTTAGATTTAGCCTTTAGGGTGAATGGAGCTGGTTATAAGTTCTTATGATCCAATAGGGTGTGAGGAGCAGATGTTGGGAACAAGGCTGTTGCACAGATTTTTCTCTGGAAGATGCCCCGGAAATGCACCTTTCCCAGATTGTTATCCACTACAGCATTCTAAAGATTGTTCTGTAGAGGAGATTTAGAGATACACAGAGGTTACAAGTATAGTCAAACTGGATGGAGGAAGATGTGCCAAGCCCACACGAGCAGATGGCTCTGTGTATTGTCAGTATTTCTTCTGAGGGGGGGGGGGAATATATTCTTGTGTTTTCTGAGTGTGTTATCAGGAATGTGGGACCTTAAACCATGTGAGAGCTGACTTTACACTGTAAGCTCCGTCTGTCTTCTGGTGTCTTTGGGTCCAGAAGGAGTTAGACAGTGCCATGTTAATGCCAGGCTAGCTCATGTCCAGTCTGTACCACTGACTGTGAGGCACAGACAATTCAGTCTTCAGATGTCAAGCTGGGTAAGAACCAACTTGGTTCCTGCAGCAGCTGTCAGGTTCTCCCTGGCTGAGCCACCAGTGCAGCCCAGCAGGTCCCAGTTTGCATCAGACATGTCTATCCCTAAGCCTCCAGCAAAGCAAGAAAACAGATACTATGCAAGACGGGAAATAACTAGCTGAAATGCCAACGTGTTTTGTTTTGTTTTTCACCTGATTTCACGCTGTTTACTCTTAACTGTACAAATACAATTGTTCTAAGAGCCAAGAGCAGTACCTTTCCACCTAGAACTAGAAAATGCTTGTCTGTTGGCTTTAGGCTACCTGCTACAGCTCCTTGTGGTCTGGTGGTTGCGACTTATTCAACCTGTTTACATTAGAGATGGGGCCCTGGATCCTGGTGGACTGCCACTGCTCTGTGTACCCCTTGACTCTTTGACGGAGGACTTGGGGCAGGGTATGCCCTGTCAGGGCTTTTACCACAAATGGTGAGATCAAATGGGATGATGTGTGACTGATGCAGTGCCAAAGTGCATTCTTCAGTGTGCCTGTGCCTGTTCCAGGCTAGGCCCAAGGTGAAAGTGCAGTAAAGCAGACTCATTAAAGCAAACCGCCTGTTTCTGATTAGTCCCTCGACAGCTGGGGCACCTGGGTCAGAATGCTTCGGCTTTCCAATGAGCAGGAGGCACCAGGGTGGGGTCTCCACAGGGAACAATATGTCTTTTGATGTGTTCTCATGGATGTTAGTTTCCTGATCTCCTGTGACTATTCCTACTTCTCTAAAGACACCAAAGAGTTTGAGTAAAGAATGACATGTGGGACGCCATTGTCCTTGCGCCTTATGGTCACACTCAGAAATCTTTTCTGGAACCATTGCTCAGAAAGTCATAAAAAGATCTTTGACATGAGTTTTTCATGAAAAGATAGCAAGTGTTAAGCTGCTCCTCTTAAGCTCAGAAAATGAACCTAGACCACCATTTTAAGAATTGATGCTGCCAGACGGTGGTAAATACACGCCTTTAATCCCAGAACTTGGGAGGCAGAGTGGATCTCTGTGAGCTTGAGGCCAGCCTGGTCTACAAAGGAAGTTCAGGACAGTCGGGGCTACACAGAGAAACCCTGTCTCAAAAAACAAATGAACGAAGAATTGATGCCCTGTATGGTAAGCCAGGATGTGGGATCTTTGAAGTCTCCCAGACCAAGACCTTTTAGGGAGTGTGCTTAAAGTGGGCATGCTGCCAGTTAAGAGACTTGAAAACAGTATTCCACACTTGCTCGCTATAGTAGCAAGATGTTCTGCACACTCTTAATTCATTTCAACTAGGTGTGGTAAGTGGGAACTCCAGCCAGCCCTGGCAGTTCAGAGCTAGGTGTGGGGCCCTCTGACTCCAAAGCTGCTACTTGCTGCTTCTACCACTGTGGCCTCAGCTAACCTTGCGTTGAATTGGCCTTGGCAAACTGGTTCCAGATGCTGTCTGGACTGGAACTAGTTGGGCCAGGAACTAGGGCTGTCTTCCCACTTTACCCACTGTACCGAGGGACTCGGCTAAGTCAGGATGTGAGCACAATCTGCTTCTCCATCTGCCAGTCCCGTCAGAGCCTCTCACTAACTTCCAGATTGCTCACCAGCATCTTGGGTGACTAGAGACAGCTCAGTTTGTGAAGGTTGAAGCACACAAGTAAATTGATATCAAATGTGAGCTAAGCACTGAGTGTGTGGAGGCAGGAGGATCAGGGGTCCAAGGTCATCCTTGGCTACATAGTTTGAGGCCATATTGGGCTACATGAGACCCTGTCTGGGGGAAAAAATGAGCTGTTTCATCCTACCAAATCTTACTGGAGTACTAGCAGAATTGGGGTACTACATAGTGGCTTCTTTCTTGGGGTTCAGTTGCAACATTTTGTTAACATGTATGTGAAAAAGATGTGCTTGAAGTCTGTCTGCTCTCTATGAAAGCAGCTTCTGGGGTGGGAAGCCAAAGTAAGGAATTCAGAATGATCAGAAACTTAGCAAGGAGAGGCAACCAGCTTGTTCAACTGAGAGGTTGAACATAAGGGTGCGCTCTTTGGGATGCCCTCACATCCCAAAGGCAGGATTAAGGGCTGCCAGTGTGGATCAAAGAGCAGAGTTGAAACTGAGGGACGTAGACAGGCTACACAGTCTATTGTAGCGACGTCAACACTGCCAAAGAGCTCCTTACTAGGGAGACTGCGAGAAGCTAGGTTGCAACAGGTTGGTTTGGCTTGTTGCTGACAGTAGGTCCAGTCTTGAGAATATGCATGAACACATGTGGCTGAAGGGGCTTCTCCACAAGTAGATTCTCCTAACAGTGAAGGGAAGACGGGTGCTTTGGAACTCCAGAAAGTTCAATCTATCAAGTGGTCTACAAATGCCCTGAAGGTGGCAGCTGCAATGGGTCACTGTGTTATTGGTATGTCTTCAGGCATGTGCAAGTGGGCTAACTACCGTTGTGACCTAGCGTGACCTGTGTAGTGGCGGTCCGTCACCTGTATGTCTGGGTGTCATCGCAGCTGAGTGTAAGCACTTAATTGGGTACTTGCATGAGTCTGTGAAGTTGAGTTCAATACGAAAATAGTTGGAATTTGGGCTTGGGGAGTCTGCCTTGCAGGGAATCAAGAAGCCTTGTGCTTCCTGGGCCCTGGGGACTGCAGGTCTGCCGCCCCGAACTGAAGAAGCCAACCCCAGGGGAGAAGTCTTAGGTCCTACCCAGCATAGCCCTGGTGGACTTCTCCAGACCCTCCAGGGACAGATGCTGCCTCCTGGACACACACCAAGAACACAGCAGCCCCAGCCAGAACGCTTCTTTACTGTGAACCTAGGTGCCCTTCCAACCTAGCATGTTTGTCTTCAGCCTTCAGATTAGAGGACACTGGGAAACTAAACCCTCCCTTCCAGCAGCCATCATCTCAAAAGGGGCCCGTGCTATTGTCTTTCATCCTCACAATGGAAAAGCTTCCTCAAAGGAACTGTCTCTCTGGCCTCTAGCCCTCCCTCCGCTTTGCTACCCTGTCTCTGGCTGGCTACTGGCCACTTCTGCGCTTTCCATGCTGCTTCTCTGTCTCAGCACTTACTGAAGCTGTCATGAGTGATTCAGGTAGGTTTCTCACAGCCCTCTTGGGATGCAGGAGTCAGCAGAGATCTTTCTTTAGTGACACCATCGCTGTGGCCCTGGCCTGGCTTCCGAGAAGGATACTTGGCACCCACTGTATTGCGCTATGCACCACTCTTTATTGCTGCTGGGCCAGCCACCTGGTGCGACCTGGCCGGGCTCGGAGGCGAGGTCCTGCTGAGCTCCCCATGCTGACCACGGAGCAAGATGGAGCCCAAGGCCCCTCTGTTCAGGGCTGGGCACAGTCCAGGGCGCAGGGCCCTTGGGGAGGGCGGTGCGCAGCTCTACTCTTTCGAGTCGCTGGCCGTGGGCTCCTGGCAGAACTCGTCCATGAACTCGAGGAAGCGGCCCAGCTTGGGTTGGCTGGCGCTCAGCGCACGGCGGGTAGGTGGCCTGGGCGGTGGGCTGGTGGTGAACACAGTCCGAAGGGAGTTACGCACCAGCTCCCGGTAGCGCGCGCGGAACTCCTTGAGCAGCCGCTTGGCCTCCCGGTACTGCTTCTGGTTCACCAGGCGCTGCTGCGCGCGCCGCTGCAGCACGGCGCCTGTGGGGACGAGAAAGGAGAGCACCAGGCTCGCCAGCTCCCTTTGGCCCAGAGATGCAGAAAGCATCCTGGCCGAGGTGGGGGGGGAGCAGCCCAGCCCGACAGTGGGAAGTCAAGCCAAAGGTGCCAGTGACGTGGAAACCTCCTGCCTGCCCCAACCACCACCCCGCCGCGCACCAGCGGGTAGACCCCAGAATTTCTGCTTCCAACAGCCCTCCCGGTTTTCCATGCTCCCTTCTAGCTTCGCATCAGCCTGACGGGAGAGTGGCGCCATACCCAGTGGAGCCTCTGTAACATTCCGAGGATCTCGCATGCGAATCAGGACGTCATCCAGCAGCTGCGCTCGGGTCTTCCGGGGGGGTGGAACCGGCAATCTAGGGGCCTGGCACAAAGCAAGGAGGAGGTCTGTCACTTGACACAGTGAGGGTCAATGGGGAGCGCTGGAGAACAGGCCTCAGGGCCCCAGGGTAACTGCTACCGGCTGCTCCTGCCGAGTCCCCAGAGCGCAGGAGCAGTGTCCGCGGTGCTTACCTTCCTCTCCTTGGGGACGTAGGGCTTCTGTAAAGTGTCCAGCCTGGGCTTGGAGGGGCGGCAGACCAGGGGCTGCTTCAGCATGCGATGCAGCGCCTGCGCGTTCTTCTGGATGCCTGGAGGAAGCAGCAGCGGGTGTCACCCCGACCCTGCTCAGCGCTGGGAAAGGACCAGCAGAGCCCAAGAAAGCCGGCCCCAGAGCTCCCTAATATGCTCCCGGGCCTAGAGCGCCCCCATTCATTGAGTAAAAGGTCCCAGGGGGCTCAGAGTCTAATGTCTGTCGGGGACGTTAGTCTCTACAATGATCCCTTGAACCTTGAACTCCGGGTGGGGGTGAGGGGATGGTCACAAGGCAGGGCTGACTCCTAAGACCCGTTCCTGGCAGGCTATTTTGGTAGGACAGAGAGTGAGGCACACCAGAGGAAACAATCAGAGCCCAGAGGGCACTGTCTCTTCTATCCCAAACCAGGGGCTTGGGATGGTATATTGGGGCCTTAACAGGGGCTGTCGAGCGCCCAGGAAACTGGCTTTGTTTGGTCTTTAGCCCTTTTCTGTGAGCAAGGGTGACTGGGCTAATCCAGGCAGTCTTTGAAAAAGCCTTGACCCCAAAACAGTGACAGTTCAGCCAAGAGCAGCGATGCTGCCACGCCCTGAGGAGGAGAGCGGGCTCAGCAGCGCATGCCTTTAATCCCTTACCCTTTGGCTCCACAAAGGCTGGATCAGGCTTTACTTTGAGCAGCTCCTCATAGCCACAGTACTTGGAGCCCATCGCCTGCTTCTTCCGAGTCCTCTTTGCCTCTCTGGGTGCTGTTAATGGTCTCCTTTGGTCGTTCTCCTTTCCCTCTAACTTTTCCCTGCGGACGGTGGAGGATGGCAGCTCATTCACCTGTGCCAGGAAGACAATACATCACTCGTTCCCTGCTGCGTCCCTATACGGGCTCAGTGCAACTGTCGGTGTTGGGCCCTGTTACAAAAACATCTGAGGCATGGAGGAAGCAGGACAGGAGACCAGGAAATGGGTTCTAACCAGAGGAAGTGTGGCCAATCTGGGAAATCTCAGAGGAGACCCAAAACCAGCCAGAAAACCCCAAAGGCAGGAAGGGATTCTTTAGTCTGGACCACATCCTGGGAACAGAGAAGAGCTGTCCCCAGATAAAGCAGAGAGAGGCCCATACTGCAAGCCATGACAAAGATGGCAGCTGCAGCAGTCAAGGAACAGCATGGCCACTTAAGGAGTAATGTGTGAGATAGGTGGCTAGAGTGCCGGGCAGGCTAGTAAGGCCCCCCCCCCCCATGCCATGCTGAGGGTGTTTGCTTTGGTTTGTATTCTTTATTCTTGCTTTGAGGAATGCCAGGAACATGTTAGCTTACCCAAATGGGTCTTATATGACACAGGAAGCCCTATTTCATGTAGGGACGTTCCAGAGGGACCTGCCAACTCTTCTCACCTTGTGGAGGTTGAGCAAGCCTATGTGAGATGCCTGAGAGTAGAGGTGTTTGTTTTTAGAATACTTACATGACAAGATACCTTGGAACTGGACCCAAGTCTACATGTTTCATGTATATTTATATATACATATATATATGTACATATATATGTATATACACACATATATGTGTATATATATACATATATAGGTATATACACACATATATATATATATAAATAAAATGATTTTATGTATGAAACAACACTTCATCAAACACCCTCTTGTGGACAATGTTGGCACATAAAACATTTCAGAGCTCTGTGCACTTGGGATTTGAGTCGCTCAGATTATGGGCGTTCCATCTCTATTTCCTCTCTTTACACATTGCTCAACTGACATTTTGGTATTCATGGGTCTAAACCCTCCATTTGAATTTCTGCCCTGCCCCCATTTCCTCTTGTCTCTGCCCATATCTCCACCTTGTTAACTCTCCATAGCCTGAGAAGTGTAGCTTGGTCCATCCACCCTCCTTCCTACCCTCCTGGTTTGGAACACAGGCATCCTTCCTCGGTTCTGGTCCCTGGGTACCCCAGTCTCTCTGCAGAGATGGCAAGCTCTGCTCCTCCCAGCTTCCCCACTAGACCATAAGTGCCTCGAAGGTGGCACTTCTGTGGGGCAGCATGACAAGTGAGGTAACCTTTAGCACAGAGGGGCAATCCTCTGCAAACTGGCCAGAACCAGATCCCAGTGAGATCTGAGGTCCTGTCTGTGCTGCCACAGGACCACTAGCGCCCTGAGCACCCTCTGACCTGCCTGCCGTGGGCAGTCCACAGCAAGGAGCTCAGGAGCTGCAGGAAGCTGTGGACACGGGAGGCGCTGGGATGGGGGGGGGGTGGAGGAGTGAGGACAGTCACCTGGGTCAGGAAGATGGACTCCGTGCTCTTGGCGTCGTCTGATGGGTGGTCTGGGCTCACGAGGCCGGCTGTGCAGCTCGGGTGGGACACCGTCTCACTGTGCACGGTGGAGTCGGAGCAAATGGGAGGCATGGGCACAAAGGTCCGGTGGGGCACGTGGGGGCCTTCTGGGCTCTCATTGGCCAGCAGGGCCTCATGAGAGCCGTCTTCAGTGGCAAGCTGCCCTGGCGCTCCCGACTCTGGCTCTGGCATAAGACTCGAGGGAGGCTCGTCTGTAATTCCGTTCAGGTGATGGGGGACCAGACAATGCTTTGGCACCTTGGGGACGTGGGTTTTCACCTGTGTGAGAGAAGGGCTGTTGACAGGAGGGCAGTCTCACACCCTCACAGAGCAGCGCCTCACTCCACACCACCATGGAGGCTCAGTGGGGAAGGAGAGAACTGGCCCCCACAGGCTGTCTTCTGACCTTCACGTGGCCACTGTCACGCAGTGTAAATTTTATAAATCACCAAAGGGACAATTAGCCTGTTTCCCAGGCGCAGAGAAGGTCAGTGGCACAGCCTGCACCTTCCGCCTGGAGGCCTGGGCTCTAGGCCCCGGCTGTGTCCCGACCTCACTCTGCTCTTGGCAGCTTCTCTTCAGGGTTTCCCAGAATGCCTCGTGCTTTCCTCAGGGAGTCCTGGAGTCCTCCCGAGCCAGCTTTCGCAGGGGCTGTGGAGCTACTTCTTTAACTGGCAGGGGCTGTCACCATTTCTCCTGGGCTGTCTCCCTGGTGGGGTGAGCAGCGTGTGTGCATAGTGCGCGCGTGCGTGCTGTGCCTTCTTTTCTACTTTTACAGACTGACTAGCGGAGTAGAGAGGCCCTAGGCTCTCCACTCAGGAGTACGCAGGCTGAGACCCAGTGGCTTCCTCCTGTCAACATGGCAGACCCCCAGTCCCTGCCTCTACCTGGATCTATTACCTGAGGAACAGGAAGAACCACTAAGGAGCGCTTCTAAATAAAAGGCCAAAAATAAATTTCATTTTAAGAATTTTTTTTTTTCTTTTTGACATGTGTAAAATCCATGTTTTGAACGGAAGGAAGCCTGAAGGGCATGGGCCTTCTTCAAAACCCATGTGTGTGGGGGGGGCACACACACCAGGCTTCTGCACAGTAGGAGCCCTCGCTGGCATGGGGGGGGGAGGGGGCTGCCTGTAGGTGGGGGTGGAAGGCTGGAGACACTTCTCAGTCCCGCCCTTCTCACAGGGTGACTTGGCAGTCTCCATCCCCGGCTCACTGGTGGCCTGACCCTTGCCCTCAGGACTAGGCTGGTCTATCTGCCTGTTTTGTTCTCACAGGGGAAAGCCATCAAGCATGCTCTCCAGCTTTTCCTCCTGCCTGCGTACACAGGCAGGACCGGTAGCCTTTGTCTAGTGAATTGAGCAGGAAAAGGCCCAGGGCTGCCTGTGTGTAGCTCTCCCTCTCAGCAGGCTAGAGGAAGACCGCTACCCTCAGCTGGCTTCAGGCCTAAGCCATCCATGCTCTGGGGTCAGGTGGTGGCTATGCGCCTGGATGCACACACTAGTGCGTTGTTTCCCTGCATGTTGGGGCTTACGTTTATTAAGACCTCAAATGCTCAGGACCCTGGACAGGAGGGTGAGGAGCGCCCTGAACACAACGCTGCCTTGTATCTCGTGAGCTGGGGCACCTTCCTGAGCCTGTTTCTTGGGTGAGTGAGGGCAGAGGTGCACTGTGAGAGACAGAGGTCCCTCCCCAGTGGCAGACGATCGTCAGAGCAAGCAAGAGAAACCCTAGCAATTTCTATTTCTGACTTTAAACCCTTGCTGTACTCCTCTGAGGGCTTAAGAGCTTGGCTGGACAGAAGCGGCCACAGAGCAGATGGCAAGGGACAGATGTTTCTATCTTTGGAGACAGAAGCTTCTCACAGATTTTCTCTCTTTCTTTCTTTTAAAATTCCTTCAGATCAAGAGGATGATAATTACTAGTTCGTGGGCCCCAGAAGTAAGGCCTCGTAAGCCTGCTGGAGGGACAGAAACCAGCCTGTCTGCGGCAGAGCTGTGCATCTAGTCCTGCGCACTCAGAGCTCTCGCTAGCCCCAGGAACTTGTGCGGCTGAGGGCTTGGGCTCTGCACTCTAGCTTCATGACTCCCTTCATCCAGCTCTTTCAGCAGCTCTATGAGGCTCCAGAGCTGAAACACCAGCAGCTCAAAGATCAGACAGCTATACACAGAGACTGGTCTTCTAATGTCAAGGCTGATTTCTCCCCACTCTTCTCTGGGCCTTAGTTTCTTTGTGAAATTAGGGGATCACTGACAGTGACCTGCAAGGCTTTCTATCTTCCCTCCTCTTGTTGGGGCTCTTTGTCTTATCACCTCTGCTTCTGGCTGTGTTTAACAAGGGAAGGAGAAGGCCTTGGAGTCAATGGAGAGGTTCCCGGTTTGGCTGGAGGAGCAGGGTTCTCGAGTGTGTTAAAAAATAGCCTCCACTCCCCAGGCCCAGGGTCTGGCTGGAAGGCTTACCTTCCGTGACTCCTTCCGAGGCATGATCATATGGTGTTTGGCCTTTACCAGTTTCCTTCGAACTAAGCGAATGCCCAGGCGCTCCTGGAGGAAGCTCTTCAGCAGAGGTGGGATCCCTGGTGTCACGGAGGAGAATACGATGCTGATTAGCTACTATCTCCTGGGGCTTACTGTGTGTCCAGCACTGGTCAAATCGCTTTGCATGTATGAATGTAACTGCACTTTTCAATCTGAGGAAGTAGGTGCCGCATTATCCCTACTCTATAAGCAAGGAAGTGATGCACAGACAGGCTGCTGTGACACTGTGCAGCAAGGTTCAGCAACCACTGGGGTCACAACAGGCCCAGCACTCTACTGCATCTCCAGCTGTTAGGTCTTGGCCAGAAGATGGTGGGCACTGTTATAATATTGAGTAAAATTCCACCAAAACGTATTTGATATAAGGATGGAAGTTTATTGTGGGGAAAAGGGAGGGAGGAGAGAAAGAAGAGAGAGAGGGAGAAGGAGAAGAGGGAGAGGGAGAAGTCAAGGGAGTGAGAGAGAGAACAAGCAGGAGGCAGGCAGGTTCTTACATCCTGAGCACTGGCCATGGCAGGTATGAAGTCAACCTAAAAGCAGGCTATTGGACTAACAGTCCTCCCTTTTTGTTTAATTAAAAAATGAGGAACTACGAAGAGGTTGTGAGGTGTGAATGAGGGCATTGGACTGCTTCTTACATAAGACAAGTTAAAGTATGTAAATGCAGGTTCATTGGGAAGCAGCTCTTGGCCAGCATGAAAGAGGGAAGGGGGAAGTGGGGGGAGGGAGGCAGAGAGACAGTGAGAGAGAGAAAGAGGGAGAGAGAGCAAGGGAGAGGAAGGGAGACAGAAAGAGAAAGAGAGGGAGAGAGAGAAAGCAAGAGCAACAAAATTTCTGGCTTTTATGGGGAAGGGGAAGCCCCTGGCCTGGAAAGTTCAGGGTGGAGGGTGGGGTAGGCCAGCCATGTCCTGTAGCAGGTAGGGACGGAGGAATGCTGGGAGAACCTAGATAAGTCATGAATCTGAGTTATGGCACCAAGCTTATAATATTGATTAAAAAACATTTGGTTTAAGGAAGGAAGTTTATTGTGGGGAAAGGGAGAGGGAGTGACCCCAAAGAGAGACAGATAGAATGAGAGAAATTGAGGGGGAGAGAGAGAGAGAGAGAGAGAGAGAACGCACAGGAGAGAGAGAAGCAGGCTGTTAGAATAACAGGCACCACAACAGAACTCCATCAGACTGAGGGCAGGGTTAGCCCTGCAGCTGGGCCAGCCCCAGAGGAGAAATGGAAATGAGACCACACAGACCTGCTCTGCAACCCAGCAGGTATGACTTAAAGAACTGAAGTAAGGGCTAGAGAATTCAGGATTCCCAGCACTTGTTTGTTTGTTTGTTTGCTTGTTTGCTTTCCCTCTGGAGTGGCCTTGGGCAGAGCCTAACTGATTCGAGCTTTGGTTTCCACCAGAGTTCTTGCGGTTGACACCTGCTTGCCGGGGGATTCTGTCAGGGCAAGTAGGTGCAGAGCAGGTACTCAGCAATGTCAGCTGTGCCCTCATTCTCCAGGGTAGCTGAGCCTCCCCTCCCCTCATCAGGTCTGGCCTAGCATCTGAGAGGTGAGAAGGAGAGTTCTAGGGCTAACAGTAAGCACTGGGCTGGGGGGACAGATCTGTGGCCATCTTACCTCGAGTGTGTGCCACCAGAGGGTTGTTGTGGAAGACGAGCTCACAGAGGGAGGGGAAGAGAGCTGCTGGCAGGATGGCATCCTCCTTTGCGATCTAGAACAAGTAAGTCCAGGAGACATGTTGGTGGATGCTGGCCAGCAAGGAGAGGCTGCGGAACTGATGCGGTGATGAGGGATCATAGGCAAAGCCTTATCCATGCACCATCGACCTGCTTGGGCCCAGAACACTTTGCCCTCCTGCCCGAGGGTTCTGCTACCACTGTTTCATCTTTGAACAATAACCACATGTGTGCAGTGACCTCGGAGACCAGAGGGGGGTGTTGGATCTCCCTAGAACTAGAGTTACATTACAGCTGGTTGTGAGTTACCATGTGGGTGCTAGGGATTGAACATGCGTCCTCAGGGACAGCAGCCAGTGCTCCTAACAGCCAAACCTCCAGTTCCCATTGCTGTATCCTTAAGAGAAAAATCTCTTATCCACACTGGATATGAAAGTATCAAGGATACTGGCAGGCAGATAATCAGAAGAATTTGTCTCTGAGAGCCTTGCGGGCTGCTGGCATGGCACTGACTTTGTATGTAACTCGTCTTCCTGACAGCATGCCTGTGCACTCCAGCATCCCATCAGCTGCCTCCTGGGCACTCCTTTCCATCAATCCTAGGCCCCAATATATTCAGTGGAGAGGGCCAGAGGGCAGGGACCCACTTGTCAATGGAATAAAGCTGAGCCATGATAACAGACATGTCATGGCTGGCTGGGGCCAGGAGCCCCTGAGCACTCAGCCTGTAAATTGATAAGCCAGGGTCTGCGTGACAAAACATACACGAGCAATGTTGAGTAAAGTAGCTAGAACACGGAGACAGCAGTAGAGTGGAGTCAGGGCCATTGGGATCAGAGGCACCCAGAGTGGGGCTGGATTCAGGGACACAGAAGGCATAAGGGTTGGCTACTGGAGCCTCGCTGGGCTGCCCTGGGGCGAGTGGCTTCTCTACCTCACGTGGACCAGGGGCCACCAGGCCTTTTGTCAAGAGCCAGGTGGGACACAGAGTGTGTCGGGACACACAGAGTCACTGTCCCTGACTCAGCCCTGCTCTTACAACCTCAATGCAGCCCTGGACAATTCATAAGCACATAGCCAGAGTAAAGTTTTATTTATGGGCTCTGAAATTTGATTTCCTATAATTTTGACGTGTCATGAATGCATGTTGAATGCACCTGAAAGTGTAAAAGCCACTCGGTCCGGAGGCTGTGCTGAGACTAGGAGGGACAAAGAGCCATCTGCTGTTGGGCGTTGTTCTGGTGTGCTGCGTATTCAGATGCTGATTTCTGTGCCCCTAAGGTCTGGGTACAGTCCAGACATGGGCGTTATCATTTCTATGAAGAATCTCCTCTATCAATATTGTGTAAACATCACTCCCCAATTTCCTCTGGTTGGTTAATAAAGAAGCTGAGAGCCAATGCCTGAGCAGGGGAGAGAGAAAGGCTGGACTTCCTGTTCAGTGGGGATGTCTCAGATAGGAACCATAAGGTAGAGGAAGGAGAAGAAGAAGAGGAGGAGGAAAAGGAGGAGGAGGAGGAAGAAGAAAAAGAAGAAGAAGAAGAAGAAGAAAGAGGGAGAGAAAGGATGTGGCCATGAAGAGCTGTCCATGAGGACTGAACTGACCTGATGAAGCAAAAGCAGCCATTATACCATAATTTTACTAATGGTGTCCAATGTGGGGCACGCAATCCAAACTTAAGACAGAAATCCAAGCATAGAGCCTGAGGAAGCTCAGATAGCCAGACAAGAAAGCTGCAAAAGTGGCTACTTTGGAGCCCCTATTGAGCAACAAAGCTGACTCCATTTCACAGGCTTGGCTCCTTAAGAGGCCCTGCTGTGCAGCAGAACATTTAAACAGCAGTGAGCTAACTCAGCTGGCAATTTCAGAGCTGCACCACCGCTTCTCTCTCTGTGTACTGTGCTGACAGATGAGCTGAGGAACACCTGCCACATCATGGGCCCAGCAACTTCATGTAGATGGGAAAGAGCTTAAAACTGCAGCCCAGGCCTGTTCTGTGGGCTTCGGAAGGTGGCCACCACCCTCCTGAACCAAGCTGCTCTGAGAAGCGTGGTAGCTTGGAGAGGCTCTGAGCAGACAGAGGTCAGAAGCAGCAGCCCAAGGCCACACATGTGGGCCAGGACAAGTGGCAACAGACCACAGAAGCATGCCAAAGTACTTCCCAGATCCGAGCTGCTCTGAAAAGCCAACCTCTTGGTGTGATGCTGGGAACATGGCAGCTCATTGAGACTCACTAAAGCACTTTCCAGCACAATTGACAGCAGCTTACAGGTGCCCGTCATGGGGAGGGGAGGGCACCCAGCTCTCCTGGATTGGCAAATGCCAGCAAGGGACACTTGGAGCCAGCAGGAGTGAGCTGAAAGTCAGGGATGAGGACACCAGAAGCACGGGTCTGAGCTGACCAGCAGAGGGAGACAGAGAACACACAGAAGGAATCTGAGCACAAAGAAACTTCTAACAAGGTTAAAATAAAACAAACAACAAACAAACAAAACCAACCTTGAAAATGTACTTAGATGTGAAGAAAAAAGGGAAACTGGGTACAGACAGTCAATAAATAGATAGATGATAGATAGATAGATAGATAGATAGATAGATAGATAGATAGATAGATAGTCTGGAAAAAATAAAGTCCTTAAAGAGCAAGTAATATAAAGAGAATACTTTAAAGATGGGAAAGAACTTATAAAATTACATACAAAATATATTAATTTAAAAAGTGATAAAGGAGAGGTAAATAAATGCATATAGAAATAAATTATTTTTTAGAAAAAATTCCAAAGAAAGAAAAATAGAAATGTTTTCAAAGGTACGTAAATGCTAAAGAAAACAAACTGAACATAGAAAGTCATATAAAGAAACATTAAGTTTAAATAATAAAGCAATGTTTCTGAAAAAGGAGAAACTTGAAGAAATATGTATTTTCCATATTAAAAAATGGAAAACACTATGAAAGAGGGCACTTGCACCTAAAATTTCTCTATAACGGTGCGTCATTTCAGCCTTCTGGATTTGAATATTTAACAGACTTTTCTGTAAAGCAGGAATTTTGAAGGACTTGCCTACCTTGTCCTTGCAAAGCTCAGCAGTTGACTTTCCTGCATTAAGTTTGTCCAATTTTGGACAGTATTTTTTCTGTAATTGACCTAAGGGCATTTTTCTCACCCAGCCTTTGATGATATGAAGCCTTTGATGCTCTTTGAAATAGACAGGAGTACTGCCAGGAACAGACCTGTCTCATTGTCCAAATTAATACAATCTTTAAATGCCATATTCTGTGGATCTCTGAGGTCTTTGAAGACCATCCATCTGTCTATCTTATCTGAATTGTTTGTTTCTAGCTAATTTTTTATCTGTCAAACATAGAGAACATATTTTTGTAATTAACTAAACTAGTATCTAAAGGATCATGAGTTTGATCATCTGACTGCCAATATGCACCTCCCACTTATTCTAGAGAGTTCATAATAACAGCTTTTAAAGAATTGGAAGTAAACCTTAAATTTATAATGAATTGTATAGGTCCAATACCTTACATAAGAGTTGCAACAGGTATGTGTCAAAGTTAATCTTAAATTTGTATCAGTATACCAAAATTTATATAATTAAAACCTTAAATCTGTACCAATATATAATAATTCATATTGCTGTAAGTAAAATTAACCTTATTTGAGAATGACGATAGCTCTAAGTTGAGTAGATTTAATGATCTACCTTTACATCCCATTATTTCTGTATTATCCGTATATTCCCTCCTTTATTCTTCTCAACCCCATCCCCCTTGCCTAAGAAGGAAAGAAGGATAAAGAAAAGGAAAGAGAAATCCTTGAGTCTAAGTTCCTAAGCCTTTTTTTTTTTCCCTGATCAAGACTATTTAATAACCTGTAGCTAACTCCCCTAAATTACAACAAACATCCACAGCCCAACAGAAAAACCAAAGCCTACCCACCCCAACTTAGGGGAATGGGATGTCATTCTTCTTAAGATTACTTCCTGCTGATTTTGGGGCATAGGATGTCTTTTTGGAAGACCCAAAGGAAATCCAGAAAAAGTGGTTAATTGAGTTAGCAGTAACATTTGTGGTCCAGACTCTACGTGTTGAGTCTGGGCTTAATTCTAGGCTTAAGTGAAGTCCTGTATGGAACAGTATGAAAGGCTGGATCAACTGGGAACAGTAGCTTTTTCTAAAGCTATCCTGGGAGCAAGCTCTGAGGAACAGCAACTGAAGCAGTCTTGGGCAGGAGAATGTAACAAACTGGAATATCTTGTGTCAGAATATCAACACCCTCCAGGATGAATCCTGTCAGCTCTGATCCAATGTCACTGGTCTCCTGTTCTTTGGCTCTTTGGTGAAGCTTCTTGTATTTGGCTCAGGATGTGTGCTTTTTTGTGGTGGGAGGGAGAGCGGAGTAGCTTAGGAGGCCTACCAGGAGAGGGCATGGACCATATCAGTGCACCCTAGAAAACTGTGAAGGTTCAGCCAGTCTTTTAATACCTGAATATGAATTTTAAGGGGGTGGATAATGTGTCATCCATGTTGAGTGCCAGTTGTGACCAGTGGTTTGTATTTCCTGTGCCCCAGGATGGCCTTTAAAAACTTAAAAATAAAGACACCAAGACCTTTAAAATTTTAAAAACTTAGGCCTTAACTGTACACATTTTCAACTATGGGAAGTTAACCCATCCATCTTGCCTTATCCAGCCATGTGGCCAGCTGTCTTCCCAGGCTCATGATCACATCTATCTTCTGTCTCTGTCGTTTCTATAGTCTGGAAGCTGCTTGCTCTGCACTTCCTGCTTACTCCGGTAGTATTTATTCCTTCTCAAGACTGTGATGAGGTTGAAGACTAGATGGTTATATTCTCACAATTAAACTTAAGTTGTTTAGGATTTGAAAAGTTTTAAAAAGATAATTTTATATCTAAGTAGATTTTTAGATTGATAAATGGAATCTATGACAGAAAGTGATTTGGGCATTAAACTCTGAACTCACTAGGATAGGATAGACCATACTTTCTCCTGAGTTGCCAAATAGAGATGGACTGAACATTGTAAATGTAATTCTTACATGATAATCTTCTAAGTTGTTTCATGATTGTTATTTATGTAGTTTACTATTGTAAGAAAAAACCTATTGTATATAGTTCACTATTGTACTTGTACTGGACTAACAAAAGATGTTGGTCTGGTGTGCGGTGTATCCAGTTGCTGGTTCCTCTGCCTTGAGATCGGGGTATGTCCAGACATGGGCGTTATCATTTCTATGAAGAATCTCCTCTATCAATGTTGTGTAAACATCGCTCCCCAATTTTCTGATTGGTTAATAAAGAAGCTGAGAGCCAATACTGAGCAGAGGAGAGAGAAAGGCTGGACTTTTGATCCAGTGCCGGGGTGGGAGGGAGGTGTCTCAGGTAGGGACCATGAGGTGAGAAAGGGAGGAGGAAGCGGGAGAGAAAGGATGTAGCCATGCAAAGCTGGCCACGAGGACTGACCTGACCTGACCTGATAAATAAGGCAAAAGCAGCCCAGGCGGGACTCAACCGGCAAGTAATTTGGGGCATTTGGCTGGGAAGTAGCCAGACTAGCATGAAGAGTTAGAAAGGGTGAGCGTCTGCCAGCTGTAGTGCTCGAAAGCTTACTAAGCCCAATAGGTCCCTATCTCGCCAGAAAAGGCCCCACAGATTATGTCATAATTTTACCCTCTGCTCGCTCACTCACTCTTCAGTAGACCGCCGTCTTTCTCCTTTGTGTTCATATCGCCTTTGCAGCGCTAAGTGGCTGCAACAGACTGGTGCAGCATCTGGCCCTAAAAAAGTGGCCAGGCTTGGGGGTGTGACTGGGCGGAGCCTGCTTGCTTAGTGTGCAAGAGGCTCAAGGGTTAATCACTAATGCTGAAAACATTACAAAAAAGCTTGTGGACCCATTTGCTAGAGTCCAGAGAAGGAGGCTCAGTCTGCAGAGGTGCCTGTGGTGTGTGTGTGTGTGTCAGTGTGTGTGTGTCATGGTGGCCCAGGATGGCACAAAGCCTCTGTGGACAATCCAGGAAGTGAGAGACGAGCACTGCAAAGGGAATGGAAATATATATTAAGTCAACTAAGACACAAGATCCTGTTTATAACTAAAACAAGGGAAAAGCTGAGGGACACCCAGGGTGGGTGTGTGGGGGTGGGAGTGGTGGGGGCGGTAGTGGTGGTGTGTGTGTGTGTGTGTGTGTGTGTGTGATATGGTCTGTGATACCAAACCCTAGCTGAAAGTCATGGACTCAGGGTTCTGATTGTCAACCAGAATCTGGCCCCAGGCTAACCTGCTCCCTACAGGGTGACCTCAGGGACACGGGTTCCAGTAGTAAACTTTGATTTCTGCCCACCCTCAGTGGGTTAGTCAAATAGGTTTTCACCCAGCCTTCCCAGATTAAAGAAAATGTATCTGCCAAATCTGATAGCTAAATAGTATCGATTAATGTTTGAGTAAAAGCGACCGTTTTACATTTGACACATTTCTAAGTGAAGGCCTTAAGGGGAGAAGTTCTGTTTGGAGGCAGAATTGGTTTTTAAAACTTGTACCTCTGACAAACCAAACAAATTGTACCACAGTCAGCTGTGTCTGTGTCCTGATACAAACAGCGTTCAAGAGGACTTACTTCCCACCTTGAATCAGGTTATTCTGGACGCTAAGGGTACACCAAGCCCAGACTCAAACAAAAATATATCCCGGTAGTCTATATTAAGTAACAGACACGGAATGAGGAGTTAGCTGGCACACACAAGACTGGCAGTCCTGGTGAGGACACAGAAGATGGAAGGAGTCCCGCCCCCTCTGTTCTGAAGCAGGCCGAGAACTCCAGTCTCAGAGCAGTCCTGGAAAGCGGGCATCTCCAGAGAGAGTGTGACACTGGCTCACCTGGGCTCCATGGCAGGGCTACACACGCTTTGAGGACGAACCAGCTAAAGACTGTAAATTTATAAAGTCCAGCTGTGGCCCCAGAGCGAAGCAACGAGGCTCCTAGGGGCGTGGTTATGGTGTGTGGATGTGAGAGAGGACCACAGAAGGCTTCATTGTGACATGGCACAGCGTGGCATAATGTGTGCCTGGAGGAGAACAGCTGGTCCTCTGTGTTCCATAAGAACAGCCAACTGCCTAGGAAGGCATGGCGTCTGGGAAAGGGAGCAATTGCTGTTCCTTAGATGGAGCAGAGAAGAAGGGTCCTGCATGGTAGAAGCAAAGGCAGGACCAAGAGAATGGTGGTCTTGGAGATGCGGGCCACAGTGTTGCCCAAGACTAGGACTGGAGCTCAGCTCAGCTCAGCTCCCTGCTTTGGGCCGGCAAGTGCCAAGGAGCAAACAGCAGCAGTCTCCTGAGAGGCAGGGATGTCAATGGCCATCAACCAGAGATGCAGGGACCTGGGTAGGGGGTGGGCACTGATAGCTGCAGATGGTCGCAGCAGAAAGAACCCCGCAAAGCCTGGTGGGGATCAAGGGTCTGTGGTCTGACAGGGATGCAGTTTAGCACAGATGACACAGGCTGCAAGTGCAAGGGCACAGAAACACACCGTGCACTGGGGAAGCATCTGGAGGTGACAGAGCGGTGCGGGAGTAAGACGAAGGAGGCACCGAGAGCAAGGAGTATTGTCAGAGACAGAGGGACCGTGTTCCGTAGATGTGTGCTAAATGTGGCTGTCCCTGCTAGCAGATTCAAAGCAACACAACTCAAGGTAGAAAAGAACAAAACCTCCGGCACGAGCGGGTTTTTCTTCTCTACATGTGCGGTATGCACCTGTGTGGGTGCACTCGCCTGCGAGTGTGCGTGTGGAGGCCAGATGCTGGTTGCGTCTTCCTTTGTTATCTTCCTTTCTGAGATAGGGTCTCTCTGTGAACCTGGGACTGTTCCAGCTAGCTGGCTGGCCAGCAAGGCCCTGGGACCCACCTGTTAGCTGCTCCTCTCCATCACCCGGTTAGAGACGTGTGCTGCCACCGCTGGCTTTTACGTGGGTGCTGGAGATTTGAACTCAGGTTCTTATGCTTCTGTGGCCAGCCACTTACTGAGTCATCTCCCCAGGCCCATGACAGACATTTGGCTACACTGCCGTCAGTGAGTGATAAGCAAGCAAGAGTACGCAGAATAGGAGCGACACTGCCAACGTCTTGTCTTGCGGACATTCGCCAACACTGTCTCCACACGGCAGATACATGTTGCTTTAAGAGCTCACGGAACAATCATCAATTTTAGAGGGAACCACAAAACAAGTTTCAACAGACTTAGAAACAAAATCTCACAAATCGCCTTTACCTAGCAAGAGAACGAATCAGAAATCAACAAAGCGAAGAGGCCAGAAGAGGCCTATAGACTCGAAATTAATCAACCGACTCCTCAGGAACCCACAGGGTAAAGACAAATACTCCAGGAAAAATTAAAAGTACTTTAGTTGAATGGAAAACACGGGCTAGGAATGAAGCTCAGCAGGTGAACATATGCTTAGCATATATAAGAGCTTGGGATTGTTCTCCAGCACCAAAAACAACTGAGACCCTATAGAAAACCAAGCAAGACATGGATTCTAGACACCGGGAAACAGCTGAAGCCAGACACATGAACTTTTCGATCTGTTGTGTCTCTCGGTTCCCCTTTCACCTGACTTTTTCACCTTTTCAGTGATTCACACCCAAGCTTGACACCGCTCTTCCTGGCCACACGTCAGGTCAGAGCAGGCACCGCATGCGTCCTTCACAGCGCTGTGGACTCCCCCCAGCAGCAGACGTGCGGACATGGCTGCCTGTCCAGTGGTGACCTTCTCCCCAAGCTCGGAAAGACCAAGTCTTTCCCTTTCTTTACCCAGTGCCTCCAGCCTATGCCAATCTCAAACTCAGCCGGCGGCTGGCCTTGATCCTCTGCCACTACCTCCCAGTGGGGGATGGTAGGGCATGCCACTGCACCTACTTTATGCCCTGAACCCTGGCTTCCGCACATGCTCAGCAAGCATCCGTGGCCCCAGTCCCGTGGTCTTTCTCTTCTGTACACCTGTACACCCGGTACCTAGCACGAGGCTAGCACAAAGCAAATGACAGGCAACCTTGCCCACCTTGAGAACCAGGGCCACACATTTGTATTTGGGGAAGAAATGGCCGGGCTTTGGGCTGGAATGGTTCACATTCTTTCCTCCCACCTATGAGCCATGGACACAGTGAAGCACTTACCTTGTTGTAGGCCAAGCTAAGGTATCTCAGCTCTGGGAAAGGTGGGGCGAGCGTCTGGTTCCGAGCTTTCAGTGACTTCACAGGAAGAATTTCAAATATGGGAGGAAGTGAACATATCTTGGCTGTCTTAGAAGGGGAAGGAAAAAAAAGTCAGAGTCAAAGTGTCAAAATGATTAAAAAGAAGTCGAGGCTGGCAGCAGCCAGTGCCCTTCCTATTGGATGTGGTGAAATGTCTCTGTTGAGAGTCTGGCCAAAGAGACACCTAGGGTCATAAAGGCCAGAATCCTGACTCCACATTCTCTGAGGCCACGTGAGCTAATTGCCCAGCATCCAAAGTTCCAATTTCAAGTTCTCCAGGGCCACAGAATACTATAGGAGTACTGGACACAGGGTTCCCTGCCCTTCCCCCAGCCATCCCGCGCAGCACCTTGGCCCCGGTTGCCGCCCTTCTGTGCATCAGCTGACATTTCCCCAGAAAGCAGAGGAGGCATTTACACTGATAAAGCCAATCAGTCAACTTAGCCAGAACGGGAACAGCAGCAGGGAACTCCCAGCACCCAGGCCCTCAGCCCCCAGCTCTCACTCAGGATGGAGCAACAGCGAAGTCCTGACCAACCCTGAGGCGGGCTTGGCTCATCTGGATCACCTGGTGTTCCAGGGCTCCCCAACAGCCTGGGTTGGCTCAGGGCCAATCGAGCATGAAAAGGAAATTGGTAGATTAACCAAGCCAAACGCAACTCCTAAAACTATACTGGCTGCCTTATGGTGAAGAATTTTATCTGGTTCCTGCCCCAGACTCTTGGTGTTGAGCTTCTAAAACCCCAGGACTTTGCTAAGTGGTGGACTACCTGTTAGCCAGGATCCCTTGAACCACATTTTCACTCTGCTAATGGGATGGGAATGGGGCAGGTCAGACCCAGTGCGGGAGGACAGGAGCCCTGAGCTCCAACAAGCATCTAAGAAGTCTCTAATGAAAGTTGTGCACTGAGGTGTGGGCAAGTTTCCTGGCAGGCGAGTACATCGACGTGTTGGGAGGGTGGGATGCCAGGTTCCATGGGGGTGGGGGAGTGCAGGAGCTTTGCAGGTGGGACCTTCCGGATCTCTCCTTATGAGCCTTCTCATTTTGCTGGCCTCATTTTCTTGTCCTACTGCAGCTGTCTGAGCAGGACCCTTACTCAAGGTCTCTGAGTCCTACTGAATTATTGAACCTGGTGTGGGGTTGGGTGAGGGGCTGGCTTGTGAGGACTCCCAAATTTATAGGTAAGTTGGTCACAGTGTGGCTAGCTTACTGTCTTCTCCCTCCTTCATGACTGGTACCTAAAGTGAAGATAGTTTTCTTAGGAACTATATCCCTAGGCTTGACCTTAAACTCTGGGTTGGTTAATGTCAACACTGTGCTGTAATGTCATGCTGCCCTTTCAATTTCCTTTGACAACAGAATGTGGCCAAGGTCACACATTCGAATCTCACACTCTGCCATTTCTTTCTTGCTCTCTAAGGACCTGATACTGTCCTGTTGTTAAGAAGATCAGGATGAAAAGATGACGAGGAAGAGGCTAGGTCATGCCATATCCTTTGAAGCTTAGCTTCCAGCTGGCCTGCCATGGTGGCAAAGCCAGCAGAACCACCTTGTTAGCTCAAAGAATTTTGGGAAGTAACTAGCTGAACTGAAGTCAATGGTTGCTGGTTGCGCAGCAGCACTTAACTGGCAGTTTCTCACACGGCTCTGTCTGTGAGGTGGCAGCTTACTGGGCAGTGTCTCAAGGATACGGGGAGTCTAGGTGTGGAGATGTACTTCTCCTTGCAAATGGATGCATCAATATTTAGTTTGTCTGTATCAGTCTCCACGAGCTTGGTTTTTGCTTAGTGAGCTCTGCCCTGAGACAAAAACTGGTATTCTACACTGACACAATCAAACACTACACCTTTGACAGCAAGGCTCAGATCTGGGCAGCAGTGTACATAGCAGGAGCTCCTCCACTCGAGGCCTTTGTGAGAGGGCTCTGTGAGCTTCTAAAACCCCAGGACTTTGCTAAGTGGTGGACTTAACTGATGCTAGCCCCAGTTTCATTACCTGAGGTAGCTGCTGTCACTGTACTAAGCTAAGCAGTGTCTGACGGCATGGGAGTGAGTCTGTGGACCGATGAGCTCAGGGACCCATTCACCCCCCCCCCATCCCCATTGGTCAGCATAGGGCTGACTCACAGTAGGTGCTTAGCAAACACTTGTTCACTTAGTGGAACCTAAACAAATGTCTCTTGTGGCTCTATTTTACTTACTCAGTTTTGTGTTTCACCATTTAATGTTCTTGTCATTATTCACTAACTTGTACAGTACAACTATTTACAAGAATTTACTCTGTATCCAGTATTTTAAGTAATCCAGATGAGGCTGGGAGTGTAGCTCAGGGGGTACAGCACTTTCCCTGTTAGTGTAGGGCCTTGGGCCTTGTTTGGGTAGGACAAAAAGCAAACACAAATTTGAAGCAGTTCCTCCTACCTGTAAGGTTGAAAATCCAGGGTAAGATGAGAACACAACCTCTGAAACAGAAAGAGAGGGAGGGAATGTTTGTGAGAATGCTTACTGACCCCATAGGGATCAGTTCTGGATCTCTTCCCCACTGTGTACGCTGGGTACCTCCCAGATAGGTTCCGATGTTAACCGGAAAAGGATCAGATTGGGATAAAACCCAACTCCTTAGCCAGGCTGCTGGGGACCCACACCGTTGGTCCCCTCCCCAATTCTCCCATCTTACCCCTTCTGGGGATGTGGTGGGGGACCTGAATGGACCCTGACCTCATGCTGCCCTTCTGCTCACTCACAGTGTTTCAGTCACATGGACCTTCATCATAACTTTGCGACATGCAAGCTCTTTCTAGTCCCAGTGCTAGTGGGGAGCTTGCACAGGGTAGAAAGCTAACCAGCTGTCTCCTAAGAGAAAGGCACAGAGAAGGCATCCCAGCTGAGGACTTGAAAACACACCAAAAGCCTGGAAACAATGTCTTAGTCGGTGAGAACGGCTGGGGTAGGGAAGAGGCTGCAGAGTGAGCTCGTCCAGGGATGGCTGGACCAAGCCATTGCTGGGTTTAACCTAAGGACCAAGGTGGAGCAGCTGTGAGACTGCACCCTGTGCAGGCAGCACTCCCTTTACCCGGTGCCTGGGCCCCTCCCGTGATAAAATGAGAAAGGTCACGTGAGACTAGCCGGTAGGAGTAGGTGGGACAAAGCTTGCACTGAACAGCTCTCCTAGTTGGCGGTCTAGCAGGGATTGGGAAAGGTTCATGCAGCAAACAACCAGTCTGCCAGAGAACGGGCCATATTAGACTCTGACAGGAGGTGACCAGGATGAGAGGACTTTGGCAGCACCGGAGGAGGGGCCCTCTTGCTCTCATCTGTGATTCCCATGAACGGCAAAATAGAAGCTTTACTTTGGTTAGCGTGGGAAGCCAGTTAGCACAGCCTAATTCTGACCTGCTTGGTGGGTCCTCTCTTCCAAGACCTGTCTCAGCTCTGTGAGGCCAGCTGAGCTCAAAGATACCAAAGCTCAGTGCAGCTTGGCCTTGTGTCTAAATGGGTCTTAGGTCTAGAGTCTAGGAGGGCAGTCATCTAGGAGACTCTCATCTTCCCGGATTCCAGCCTCTTCATACAAAGAAAATCCGGGCTCTGGCAGCTTCAAAATAATACCTTCCAATACTTAAGAAATGAAACAGCATCAAACTCTCCTGGGAAGTTTGCAAACACCAAACGCTCCTGAACTCATTTTCTGAGGCAAGCACAGCCTTGCTCATCAGTCCTCACAGAAACACCGTGACAGAGGAAGACATCACACCAGTCACCTCTTGGACACAGATGCAGAAAACCCTCTACAAAGTATCAGTGAATTCAATTCCTGGACCATCATGGCCAAGGGATGGTGGTCTTGTCCTGGGAACACAGGGCTGACTCAACATTCAGAAGTTCTCTCACTTTCACCACCCCTTCAGAGAAAAAATGCGGTCTCTACCCATCAATCTGTTGTGGGGGTTGGTGAGGCAAGTCTTTAATTCCAGGACTGGGGAGAGAGGCAGAGGCAGGCAAGTCTCTGTGAGTTCCAGGCCAGCCAAAGCTACATGGTAAGACCCTATCTCAAATTTTTTTTTCACGTTCCCACCACCAAAAATCAATCCATATAATTATCAGCCTGATCAGTTTTTTTAAAAAGCATTCAATAAAATTCAACACCATTTCACAGAAGGAAAACCAAAACTCTCAGCAAACTAGGAATACATGTATATTTTTAAAATTTAAGGCATCTACAAAGATATATACAGCTAATATACTTCTGAAATACTGAACACTTTTCCCCCTAAGGTTGCAAAGAAAATTTTCCATCATTGCTTCTATTCAACACCATCCATACAGTTTTGGTCAGCAATAAAAAGGTGCTAAGAATTATTACAACAGGAAGAAGGGAGATATATATAGACGCTGCCACCATGAACACAGATTAATTCAAAAGAGCCTGCAGGTGAAAGGAAGCAGGAAATTAACTTTGAAACATTGCTGGAGATGAGTGCAGTATGTCTGTGCCCTCGCAGTAAATGGATGGGACTGAAAGGTAAAATGCAGCACCATTGCCGATAGCATAAAAAGAGAGCAAAGACCCAGAAACACATCTAATGATGGATGTGCACGGTCTCAGACTTGGAAGTAGCAGCGCACTCCTGGGAGAAACTTTAAAAGACCTGAAAATCAGGCTGGAGAGCTGGCCCAGTGGTTAAGAGCACAGGCTGCTCTTTCAAAGGACCTGGTTTCAATTTCCAGAGCCCATGGCAGCTCACATCTTCTGTAGCTTCAGTCCCAGGGAACCCCAGGCCCCTCTTCAGGCACTGCATAATATGGTGCACAGACATAGCATGTAGACAAAACATCCATACACAAAAAAATTAAGGTTAAAATTAAATGAAAGACCTGAAAATTGATAGGGTGTGTTCTTTTACCATTATGGAAAACATCATAAACACATTGGTTATTTCTACCTTGACTTATACAGTCAAGTGAACTTCTAGCTAAATCCCAGTGGAATCTTGTTGGCAACTGATAATTCCTAGATTTCGGTGGAAATGAGGAGGCCTTTAGTGATGCCAGAATTTGTTGGGCTCTGAAAGTGACCCAAAGTACTTCACGAGCAAGCAGCACACCTAGTTGTGAAGCTACAGCGGCTTTCAATTCTGGTATCGTTTCAATTTGGGAGGGTAGTAGGGTATGGGGGCAACCTGTTAAAAACTATTTTTTCAAGAAAGCAGCCTCATGTAACTATAATAAAGTAAGTAAATGAAAAAGTTTATGCAAGTCTTTCTAGAGAGCCATTGAAGGGGACAGGCCAATGGTGGGACCAAGCCCAGGGCTGGCCAGATACCCTGTTACTGATGAACTGCAGCTGGGGCCTGCCCACAGGAAGGCTTTCACAGGACACCCCTCGGTGTTCATGAAGTAACAGTGAGGAAGGGAGACATTTGGCCCATGCTTTCTCAGGAAGAATCATTTCTTGAAAGCTACAGTAATTCAGACAATCACACTGTTATCAACAGTGTCCCCCCGCTCAGTGGGAAAAGCAAGTCTTTCAATTAATGGTGCTGGGTCAAAAGTATATGCATGTAAACAAGTGAACTTTGACTCTGCCTCACCCCATATGTGAAAATCCCAGGCAGATCACTGACAAATATTTTAACAATCAAGCTTTTATAATAATAATATATGGGAAAATATCTCCATAGTCTTGAGATAGGTTCCAAGATTTTAAAACAGCAAAACATAAAATATTGATGAATCAGATTTCATTAAAAGAACTTTTGAAATCTAAAAAAATGGCCTGGGAATAGCTCAGTTGGTAGAGTGCTAACTGAGCATTTGAGGGGCCCAGGCTTGATCTCCAGCAGCAGCAGAAGAGGAGGAGGAAAAAGAGCTAGAAGAAAAACAAACTACACATTAGTTTTTTTTTTTTTTTTTTTTTTTTTTTTTTGGTAACATGTTTATGAAGAATTCGTGTCCAGGGTCATAAAGAACCTGACAAATCAAGAAAAAGATACATATTCCAATTTAAAAATAGGTGAAAGACAAGTATTTCCCCAAAGGAACATCAAAGCGACCAACAAACATAAGAAGATACTCAGCATCACTAGTCATTTGAGAGATGGAAATGGAAACCACGATGCAACGTCACTGCATACCCAGCCAGCAGGGCAGCTAACCCACACTCAAGCATCAGCATTCAAGGAGGCTGTGACCGGGAATCACACACGTCAGCTGTGCTGGGAAGTGTTTGCCGTGTCCATGAGTGCTCAAGATATCTGGAGATGTGTAACAAGCAAATCCTCTCCTGGGCATGTTCCCCAAGGAAATGAGGGTGTGTACCCCCCTAATGGTAAGAGGATGCCCACAGTAGTCCACAGCCCCAAACTAGAAACAACCAGAATGTCTCTCAAAAGTGAAAAGGAAATAAATTGTGGTATACATGGAGCAAATAAGAGCAGGGGAAAAGATATATGCAGAGATATTAATGAAGCCACAGACATAACACTGAGTGAAAACTGGGCACAAAGCCATGCTGTACAGTTGTATACATGCGCTTCAGGCTGGGCAGGGGTGGGCTGTTCTTGGAGGAGGTACTTCCTGGGAGGGTCCCACGGGGGCACTGGGAAGGTTCTGGATTGAAATGCGAGAACGGGTAAAGAGTGTACATACAACTTCAAGCTCTGTGCAAGAGGTCTGTACTTGAGCGGCCACCGCTAGCTTCCTCGATTGTAAACAGGTGGCAGACACACCGTGACGTGACAGCTCAGAGGCAGTCGAACACTGGAGACCCGGAGACCCAGTGCTCCTCGACTGCCTGGCTTGGCCTTCTGACGGTCTTTCCTTTCTGCCTCGGGGAGGGCACCCTGCAGGTGCGACCCTCGGGACTCGGAGCCATTCTGGGAACCTAGTAGGAACCAGTCTAACAGGAGAGGCAGCAGCTCTGGTGCCCAAAGAAGACAGAAAGGCCTGAAGCCATGAGACTGTGGATTACACCACAGGCTTTCCTACTTCTGAGTTTCTTAACATATGAGATTAAAAAAATTATCCACTTTTACTTAGAGTTTGAAAGCATCTTACCTGACAGAGCTGGTTTGGAAGTCACCGAGAAGGTCATTTGGAATGCAGGAGCTCCCAGAATCAGACTTTCATTCTTAACCCAAGAAGCTTACTCCGCAGTGGAGCAAGCACTGGGGAGCGGGGACATGGCTCACCTGTGCGGTCAACGTCCTTTTTCATGGGCAGTACGGTGTAATTCGGTTGCTCATCCGGGGTCTCAAATACCCACGTCTGGGGCTGCATATCTCTCTGGGAACTTGGCCCCTCTGTAACCCAGTCCCCTGTGCCATCACGGAGCTGAACCTGTTGTAGGTACGGGATCCGGAAAATCTTGTTTTGGTCCAGGCTCAACTTCTTCAGTCTTCAATTAAGGAAAGTAAATTCAGAACCACAGCAGTGATATTACCTCTAGGGCATTACTGTGCAAGCTGGGGAATACACATGGATTCAGGTTTGACATGAATACCTGTTGTGTATCCTTGAGTTGGGGGGACTTACCTCCTGTGGGGCTCAGTGGCCCTACCTCATAATTTGGATAATGTTTATTGATCGTTAAAGCTCTGGTGAAGACTAAATGAGACAATATGTGAATAGTGGGCACAGGGTAGTATCCAGTGAATAGTACCAATTCAGAGGAGGGATCTTTGTCAACTATGCAGAACTTGGCAGCTAAAGTTCTCTGTGGGATTTTTGTGTGTGTGTGTGTGTGTGTGTGTGTGTGTGTGTGTGTGTGCTCATTGGTGGGGGTCTCTTCTTTTCAGGATCAGGGTTTTATTATCCTGGGCAATCCCACACATGACCAGAAATAACCCTAGTGACCTCGCACTTCTCTGCCAAGCCAAGCTCAGAGAGAGACTTGGCCAAGGCGGCAGAGCCATGGCGGAGCTGGGAGCTCGCTCCATGCTGTGTAGCCCGGATGCAGCACTCGGGGCTGAGGGTGGTGCAGGTACCCTGATGGTACCTCCGGAGCCCAGCCAGGCTGGCGAAGCAGTTGGGATTGGACAGCCTGTTGTCGTCCAGCATCAAGGTCTCCAGGGCCGGGAACCTCAGGATGTACTTCTTGCTCATCAGCTGGGCCACGGATGCCTCCCTGCGGGCACAGAGATCTTGGGTACTGAGCAAGGGTAGAGAATGAGAGCCAGGAAGAAGGGAGGACAGGGAGCTGAACAGGAGGATCAACCAGCTTTGAAGCTTCCCTAGTGCCCACAAGAGGTCCATATAGGGAGGAGCAGCAGGTCTAATTCCCACCCACTGGCCCTTCCCCAGATGTCCCTTGTCTACACAGGCATGGAGAAAGTTTCCCTGACACTGGGCTGAGGTGGGATAGTAGGCTCGCTGGCTGTGCTAACGGTCACCACCAGGGTGAATGAAGCAAGACCAGATGCAGAAAGAATGCAGCAGATGGCACTGTGCAAGCCTGGTCAAAGGAGACCCCTGGGTATCTTTTGTCACCTACCCGGAGATTGGTAACCATGGCAATGATATGCTCTTGTTTTGGATCATGGTTTTGCCATCTAGGTTTCCTTGAGGAATTCCAAAAACACCCGAGAGTGGGCTGGGAGAGGCCGAGGTCCTGATGTACAGAGGAAGTGGTGGCATTTTTAGGTGTGACTGTTAACATGACCTCATGTTTCCAGGTGGAGGAGGCCTAGGCTGCTCGAAAGGCACATGGGCAGATGACTCAGATCACAGTTTCATTCCTCCCTGCACATTCCATCCACATGAAATAGAAACACCCGTGACACAAACCTACATACCATGCATGGGCTATAAGCACACAGGCAAGATGTAAGATGAACAACATCTCTTCAAATCCTACTTCATCCCCGCACTGTGATGAAGGCTTCTCCTGTTCTTTGAGGACATCAACGGGAGAGGTACCTGCTTTCCAATCAGGGAGCTCAGCAACTTGCTGAAAGATCCATAGCTACCAAGTGGTGGAGCTCAAACTGGAGCTTAGTTTTTGCCAATCCCCAAGGCCAGACCCTTCCCACTACTAGCCTCCTCTTCTGCTCACACTTTTCTGTCTCACGTGGATTACAGAGGGAGGAGATGGAAGATGACATTGTTGCCTGGTCTAGCCAGAGGTTGGCAAAGGTAGATGATTTCAAAAGCAAGTCCAAAGTTGGGGTGGATCTGGGAGGAGCTGGAAGAGGGGATGTAGAAGGTCAAAATCTTATGTACAAAATTCTTAGAAAAATGAAGGTACTGGAACATACACCTATGCCTTAAGTCAGGAATGTTTCCACAGGCGGATCTGGGGAGGTTTACAGGGATTTCCTTAGCAGATGTTTGTGTTGTCAGCTACTGGGAGAAAAGAGACACTCCCCACCTCTCTAGGCACTTCTTGTCTTATGGAGGAGGCATGAGACACTGCCCACAAGGCAATTGCTTTAACTGAAGCAGGCAGGGAGTGCGCAGGAAAGGCAATGATTAAGTGAATTAATAAAGAACGAGAGGAATTCTGCCGTGCTCTTGACCTCTGTGAAAGGGGAAAGCAATGTGGGGGCGGGGGGAGAAATCAACCCTGGACCTGTAGCTCTGGGCAGCCATGCTTCCTACAGTGCCCCCCCCACTCACAACACACACACACACACACACACACACACACACACACACACACACACA